AGGGCAGTTAGTTTACAGGAGAGTAAGTGTATGTAAGTTGAAATGGCACAGTACTTAGGATACTAATAGTGGTGTCCATGTAACCACTAAATGTAAATGTCACGTATTTTCATTTGAAATGGAGTGGTAGGGAAGTGTGAGGTAAAGATTTTCAGCCAGTGCCAGAGGCTTGTTCCTTGACCCTGTGTTAATGTATTTAGTGCAACAGTTTTATTTATTTGGTGGGGTTTTTTTGGTACCAGGGATCAAACTCAGGTCCTTGCGCTTGCACAGCAGGCGGTGAAACCATTGAGCTAAATCCCTGGCCCTAGTGCAACAGTTTTAAAAAATAACTTTCTACATCCTCCGATCAGTGAGTGCATTGACAGTGTGTAGGGTAGCTTCAAGGACAGAAACTGGAAACAACTGAAAGCTTTCAGAAGACGGGGACTTGCATTCATAAAGCAGCAGTTCTTAGAAACTGCAGAGAGAACTGGCATTGAAGTTGTGGAGTAGTACGGATTGTAGAGGGATGGGAAGGGTGAGGTTGTAGGGACCAGAGAAGACCCTCTTGGTACAGTTGCAGAGATCACCAGCGGTATAAAACAAAGATAGGCAGTGGCCCCAAGAAAAGTGAATACAGAAGGTTAGAAGAGCCACTTCTAGGCAGTACAAGTCCTTTCCTGAAATTTTAGAACATAAAAGTCTAAAAAACCCAGAAAGCACCGTATTTCTTCTGACAGTATTCCAGAGCAGTGTCTCTGAGCCCTAAGCAGTGATTAGATCAGTAATGGAATCATTGTTGGGGGTGGGGGGGTGAGACAGGGTCTCACCGAGCGGTTCAGGCTGGTCTTGAACTCAGTGTCGCTCAGACTGGCCTGGAACTTGGGGAGATGACAGGTGTGTGCCACCACCACGCCTGGCTTAGAGTCATTGTTAATCACTAATGTGATGCTGCAGTGCAGTGCGTTGGTTGGTTATCAGTCGTTTCTGTCCTGAAGCAGTTGTCTTCCTAGAACAATGGAATCTCATCTGAGGTTGAAATTTCAAAACTGAGTTGAGGTTTTAATGGCAGCAAGAGGGTAATTAAGATGAGAGGAGAAGCAGTAAGAGGAACGGGGTGTGACCTCCGTTGATGACGCAGAACGCTCTCTCGAGGGTGGGTTTGGGCCTTTGCTTAGCCTGTGTGGGGAAGTGCAGTTGACGGGCAGGTAGCTTCATTGCCACAGGGGCGGAGGACGCTGCTGTCTCAGCCTCTACGCCTTTTAACTTGTGGTTTTCTAAGAGTCAGAAGTAATGACAGCTCTTTTCTTTTCCTATTCATTTGCTTAGCTGAAGTGAGTGGCACGAAGATGGATCAAGGAGCTAAATTAAGATGGTTGAGTGGGTCAGGATTTGTGTCTTGGAAGGTTTAAAATCCCAGAAGTCACATTTCTGAGGAGTGGCATGAACCCCAGTTGTGTCATTTTTTACGTGTGTGTGTGTGTGTGTGTGTGTGTGTAGAGCTGTGAGTGAGTCCAGTAGCCTCCCTTTCTGAAGGCATGGTTGGTTGCTAATGGATCACCTTGGTTAAATGTATAGGTGATGTAAGAACGGTACGGTAATGTTTGTAAGTAGGCTGTCTGGTTAAGGAGACGGGGTGAGGCCAGTCACCCTTTGTGGGTGCAGGCTCGGGCCTTGGGCGTGTCTGCCATACAACTCTTGTGGGTCAGCTTACTAGTTTTCCCTCTTGTGTGAATATTTTTCTTCTGCCCAAATGTGAAATGAAAGAAGAAGGGAGAAAAACAGTGGATTTCTGGCAGGTGTTTGGGTGAGGATGAAACAGTTAGTTAGGAGTCGAGGGTTTGGAAGAACACCTTTGGGCGGCTGCAGGGTCCCAGCCTCGCCTGGGGACTGGCGGAGGAGGCCGGCTTCCAGCCCAGGCCACTGCTCCCGGGGAGAGCGCCGTGGGCCTCTGGAGGGTCTCCCTCCCAAGGGTGCAGCTGCAGCAGAGTGCGTGTGTGCAGGTGTTCTGGCTTTGGCGGGGCCTTCGCCTGCTGACCGGCTGCTCTGCGGTGAGCACCCTCGGCTGCTGCTGCCTTCCGCACTCAGTCTCACCTGGGGGCCACACAGCTGGCCCTGCACGTGCCCGTGCCGTCTCCTGTCTGAAGACCTGATCCAAAAGGACATTCGATGCTTTTCTTTTCTTTAATCTAAAAGTAATTTCAGTGCAGTATAACTAGTCTTGTATTTCTGAAAGAAAGTTGCTTTACTTTAAAATTTTTAACTTTTTTGATTAGCTGATGTGCTCTTATAGTTGCAGTTTTTTTTGTTTTAAGAAAAATAAAAATTCAGTTCCTATGCTTTTCCCCATCTACCCACTTCCCATTGCCATTTTCAAAAGTTTTTATGTTTTGAATTTTTTAGATTCTTAAGATGCATGTTTGGTTAGATACAGATCCGTAGTACTTTCTTTCTCCTGTATTGCACAAAAGTGCAGAGTTCACAGTGTTGGGTGCGTTGCTTTTCGCTCACCTCTCACCTTGCAGGCTCATTGTTGTGGGGTGGGGCCTCTCCCTCCACCACCTCCCCATTTCTAAGCAGCTGCATTGTGGTCTGTTTTATAGATCTTATGCTTACAAGCACATTGTGATAAACTGGCATGTGCGCTAGCGTACCGAGTCATTCTCAGGAAGTTAACTTGCTGGCCGGAAGTGCTTTAGGAATCGCAGTTTTTATCGCACCGAAGTGTTCTTTGTGCGGATGGCATGTGCTGTCACACTTTTTTGCATTGCTGTCAGTGTGATTGGGTAAAACACGCGCTCTGAGTTCCTCCCATGGATTGAGGTCAGGATACTTTTTTGTCCTTTCTGCCTCATTCCCCCAAGTTCTCACACCCTTTCCTAGCGCTGAAGTCGAACTCGAGGAGGCGCAGGCAGAGGCTCACATGCACACCCACGGAGGGTTCACTTGCAGGCACTTCAGCGCTTTCTTGCATGTGTGGGGTTTATTAAAACTGGATAAAGTAGTTGACACATGAGTTCACTGAAGAAAATTGGAATACTTTTTGTTGTAGTTTTTAGTGGAAAAGAAAATCTCAAGGAGGTGGTAACTACAAATGGCTTCTGGCATACAGGTAGGGTTTCAGTGGAAGTCTTAGAGCCAGCGGATCCATGGGAAGGTGGGAACTTGGGCTGCTCTTCAGAGTGGAAAATGGGAAATTGGAAGTCAGGAGGGCACAGTGGTCGGGAAAGGTGAGTCTTGATATTTGTAGAATGCCTTGAAAGACAGTAGTGTGTAAGAGATTTGTGGCCCTGCATGGGCATGGTGGCAGTAGGAATGAAAATAGAAGGTAGAGCAGAGAGAATAGGAAGGAAGAGTTAGCAAACATGATGACCGATTGTCAGGGGACGCAGGAGGCGAAGCTGAGCTGTAGAGTCTGGACAGCAGAGCAGGCGGCGTCAGGACAGGCTCTGGAGCACTCTGGATTTTGAAGGGGCGGTAGGATCCTGCCAGTGGCGTCCCGTAGCGGCTGCAGGTGTAGTGCAGGAGCGAGGAGCGAGGAGCCCCTTGTCCGCCGTCTGTAGGGTTTTCACCTGGCTGGCTTGCCCACCAGCACTCCGCTGCTTTCCTTCTGTCTCCACTGTCTGGCTATTTGAGTGCAGTGGACGTGCTGCACCGCCAGTCTTCTCCACGGCAGTCTCCCCCACTCTGCAGCCTGAAACACTGTCTGTCCTTCCATATCCTTCAGTGGAGAGACCAAGGGTCCGGTCAGTAGAGCTCCTTAGTGCCCTGTGGTGCAGAGTGCGGGAGGAGCTCTGTCCTGCTGCAGAGGAAGGGCGCTGGCGTTAGTGTTACTGGCCATATTGAAATAGTTCCATAAGAATAATGGAGATAGCAAGGGTGTGAAATTTGACTTCGAATTGGAATAGCAGGGTAGCCCAAAAGAGGCAGTGAATGCTTTAAGATCAAGATCAGATCTTAAGGAAGGGAAGGGGGATAAATGTGAAAAGCCTTGAAAATGCAAGGCTTGGAACAGCCTTTCTTACCGGTGGCACTGCTCTTCAGGGCTGTGTGGTTCCTGTGGGAGCTGGAGTCTGCATTGTAGGTGCTCAGCATTGTCTCGTCCTCTTCTGTCCAAATACCACCCCCGCTGTGCCATCCGGAATCCTCCTCCTCATTGCTCCGTGTCCCTTAGCAGAAGAGGAGTCCGGCCCGGCCGAGAGTGAAGTGAGTGGGCTCCTTGGGAGGCAGGAAGGAGAGATGGGTGGGAGAGGGTGCTTGTGAGGATAGCCGGAATTTTCTTGATGAAGAGATGAAAGCTTCTGTAGAAAAATGCAGGGAGGAAATTGCTTGCTTAAGATTCGAGGAGTTGGAGGCACTGGAGGAAGTAACGATACCATTTGAAGTTAGGTCGCATTTTATAGTCAGCTAGGTCAGAAAGTTTCCACATCTTTTCTCTCCGGGGAATTGGGTCTTCGGCTGCATATGGATGACACAGTGTAACTCTGGTGGGGATTTTTCTTGCAAGTTTTTGTATACGTTTCAATTATAAACATGATTGGTACGTAACATGCTCTTTGTTGTTGCTGTTGGTACTGGAGATTGAACTCAGGACCTTGCGCTGGCGAAGCAAGCGCAGTGCCACTGAGCTAAATCCCCAGCCCTCATGCTCTTTGAGTAAATCTGCACCTTGGTTTATAATCGACAGTCAGTTAATCTGGTCCACTGAAGGTAGAGATGGAACAAGAACAAATCCAGACTAATCTCAGGGCATGATTCATTCACATTTCATGTTCGAAATGTGTGTTTTCCTACCATTTGTTAATTTATTATTGTTCATAAGAATGTACCTATAATTAATAAGGATTTTTCTCCTCATTTCTGCAGCCTTTCACCTCTACCACTGACTGGCCTTAGGCACACTGTGAAACATGCTGTGTGCTTTGCTTCCTCTGTAGGTTGTTACCGGATAGCCTAAATGTTAGTAGCAGCAGTGTGGAGATCATAGACACTTCTGATTTTCCCTTTTTAACTTTCAGGCTGAAGAACAGTTGAGAATTGTTGAAGAACAAAGAAAGATTCACGAGGAAAGGATGAAACTAGAGCAAGAACGGCAACGACAGCAAAAAGAAGAACAAAAAATTATCCTGGGCAAGGGAAAGTCCAGGCCAAAACTGTCCTTCACATTAAAATCCCAGGATTAAACTGCAAACTGAACTTTTTACAAAGAAAAATGGAAGAACTTTGTATGGTAGCTTCATGTTGAAGTGTTTCTTTTGTTTTATTTTTTGTTTTTTTTAATTTGGAAAATCTGGAAAGTTAGCTTGTTCTAATAGGGGCTATGCTCTGCCATCCCTTTTATCCCCCCCTTAACTTCCATTGTCAAATCCTTATCAGATCATTGCGGTCTTCTAAAGACTGATGTATTTTTCATCTGTTTGGATTCTGTATGTGGTCTGCGAAAGAGATCACTGGGAAACTATGGATGGTCTGATAAGGTTTTTACTGATCCGCTCCACTGACTTCAGAGTTTTACTCTGTGTAACATCGCAATGCTGGTTCTGCTGACTTTTTGTTTTTTTATATATTTATAAAAAAATAAAAAGTTGGCCATTTACTGGAGAATTCCCGGGTTGTTACTGACCTGTGCGGTGCGCTGTTAGCCAGTGCCCTTTGGCACTGCTCTGGACGATCCGATCCCGATGCAGGTAAGGAGACGGCTGGTCAGCTCGGACGACCGTGTGCACGGCTCAGTGTTGTCTCTGTTCAGCTGGTTTTTATTTCACCGACCAAGCCAAACCAGCACTCCCCATTGTGTAAATAAATGATTTTGCTGAATAAAGTCAAGTCTTAAATTCATATGTTTAAGCAATTTTTTTTAGGGTTCTGTTAAGTCTTACAAGGGTGGTTTACTTGTTGATGGTCAACAGTTTAGAATTCCATACTTCCTCTCCTTTATACTTTTAACATAGGGTTTATATGTACATTAACTATACTTGTGAATTAGTGTTTAAGACTATTTTTACAAATACTTTATGCCAATAGAGCAATTATGACATCGAGCATTACCTTTACAAAAGATTAGCACCACCTAGAAAGATTTAAATTCTTCAACCTATGCCTCTGTTTTAGGAAATAAGTATTATCACCACAAGATACCTAAAAACTAAATAAATGCGATTGAGATTTCATGGAATATTAGGGTGTTTTCCAAGAGGGCCATCAGAAAGAATTGGCATTGTACATTTGGAAAAGGCTAAGGTAGTCAAATCATCCTTGCATGTTGATTTTTGGGACAAGCACATTGAAACTTTCTATAAGGTTTTTTGTTTCTTGCTTGTTTTTGGCTTGTGAAATCTTATGGATGACCGTTCTGTTTTACATACTAGAATCTGCCTCATCCTTACACATGTTCTTTCTGCCTGCTGGTATTAACATGCTCATTCAGGAAAAAGATGTGGATGGAATACGCTTCCTGCAATGCACAGACCTGTCAGAAAACATGTTTCCGGATTTGAGACAGTTGGGTCATTCTTTACAATTGAAAACATTTAAGCTAATGAGATGACTAAATGGTAGATTATTTTGTGCGTGCATGCTAAGAAAAATAATACTGCTTTTGTTTGAGCTCTTCGATGAGTCTAATTGTGGTAAGGAACAATAAAATCAATTTAAGTATCTTTAAAGATAGAATTTTAAATAGGCGTGAACTGTAGTGAGAACTTTCAGTGAACATACCTTTTACTCCACAATTCAGACATCAAGTTTATTTCCGTAAAGAATAGGTTGGCTATCAGTCTTTTATCTCTAAATATAGATTAGCTCTACTTACCCCATGAGTCTTAAACTTTATTTCTCTTCATGTAACTTTTTCTTGATGCAGATTCCTTGTTCCTAAGTTGTGTATTGGAGTTTCTGGAAATGTTTATTTAAAAATTGTTTTTGCTCTACTAGTGTTCTTAAATTGTATCTAAGAGAGTAGCTTGGACTAAAAATATCTGAAATCAGCTTCTGCGTGCCTTTTAATTTTTTCCACATTCCTGATGGCCACACGAGTCATGGTGTGGAGTCGCGGTGTGGAGTCGCAGTGAGCTGCCTCGTGGCCCTGGGCCGTGTGCTCTGGGGAGATGAGGGCAGGAGCTCTCCTGGGGCGCTAGCTGGGAGAGAGGGAGGGAGGGAGGATGTGCTTGGGATGGGGTAGCCAGCGTCCCGCGCTGCCACGTTGTGCTTTGCCTTCATTGTTTCCACTGCCTCTGTGTCCATATTAGAAAAGTTAACATTTTTTCCCCCGTCTACCGGTTCAGATGTTCCCTAATTTATTAAACATGCCTTTATTCAAAGTTTGTCTTCTTAGGTTGTTCTTAATGCATTACAGAATTAACTAATGACTTTGTTGATTTTTATTACAGTATTTATAATATGTAGTCATTGCCATTTATATTGTGGAGTTTGCAGAATTACAGTTGTATAAAACTGAATCTTTAAATTAGCTTGGTGTGAGGACTCTTTAATGCTTCAAATAGGGGCAGAGGCTCGTAGTTCAGCCTGACGACTTCATGTGTCTTCTTTTCCTCCTAAGCTGTACAGTTCAGGCTGGCCTTGGACTTCGTGGCGACCCTCCTGCCTCGTCCTTCCATTCAGCCCCCGAGATGCAGCTCAGTCGCCTAGGCCTGCATTTGTGCTGGTGTGTGTCCATAGCTTTCAACTGCCTCCTTCCCTAATAAAGCTTAACCTTGAGACATCAGTAGTTTTGTATTTTTTTATATTTTCCTGAAATACGAAATTCTGGCTCATTCAACTTAACCATTTCTGGTATTGCATTTTACACTAAAGGTCCTCGAATTGTTACTTAACTGTAATTTCTCCAGACTTAGGTTAGCTAGAACTTTGGGTTTGTTTCCTGTGTTCTGTACCCACAGCCAGCCAGCCCGTCTGCTCTACTGACTGGCCACGAGACATGCTAGAGGCAGGCTTTCTTGCTTCCAGGAGAGCCCTGTGGACCCTGGAGTGGTGTTGTGCTGAAGGTAGCAGGCTTCCTTCCATCCAGAAGTCTGGGGTGGGGGTGCAGCCAGGGCAGCGGCCCCTCTGTTTCTGTTGTGATGTTTTGTTGAGGGTCACTCAGGACTCACTGGCCCCGGTGGCAGTGATGGAGCGTCTGGCGGTTGGGCTGGGCTGTTCATTCTGTAGCCAGGTGGCTATCGCTTGCCGTCAGCTTGTGTCCTCTATTGGGCGGGGTGTATTTACTTACTAAATGTCGGGCTGGGGAACAGTGGCAGGGGCTCCAGAGGCCCACTCGTCGGGAATTGAAGGTGTGGAAACCTTCCCGCCCTGCAAAGCAGCAGCGCATCAGAATGCTTGCCTTTGCATCTGTCAGCCCGGCGTGGTGGTGGTGCACCCTTTTACACTTAGGTCATCCGTAGACTTAAAAATCAAATATTTCATTGGAAGTTTCATTTGAAAAGATCTGGTTTTTTGAGCCTCCAGTGGTTGATCAGATTATGTGGGAATGTATCTTGTACTACATTTTAAAACAAGCCAGCAGTAGCTCACAGCAGACCAGTTGTTTGGCACACCACCAAAGTTGTGTGCGTGTGTGCATGTTTTTAGTAGTGTGAATGCATTTTCTAAGGTTGGTACACCTGTTGATTACCAAACTAGTCACGAGGGTCAGAATACAGTGAGTGACCCTGTGTACGTTTGGATGGTGCTTCCCCATGCACCGCCGTGGGTTAAAGGATGTGTTGCACTTGGATCTGAGTGTTGCTGAACGCCTTTCAGGGTTGGGTGTTGGGGTTAGGGACCCAGAACAGGACATCATCACCACCTGTGGCTGCTCAGTAACCCTTACATTGGAACAGTGGCAGCCTTTCGTTTCCACATGAGGTGTGCACATCGTACTAGCCCAGATCTGCTTTAGAGAGGTGAGAGTTGACTGAAGCAGTACGTCTGCCCGTGACCTGCCGTCCGATGGGGCTTGGCTGACCCTCCCCAGCCCTCGGTTTTCACATAGGAAGTGGGGCCTCATGCCAGGTGCCCAGGCTACTGGGAGTCCTCACTGTGTTCTTTCAGGTATGCCGTTTTTGCCTTAATAATGCTTTTTTAAAAAGGCTGACCTAGGGACTTAAGGGGACCTGTAGTGGAAAATCGAGTATTTTGCTTCCATAGTGCAAATGTTCTTGGTCTGTAGACGAGATTTGGCACCAAGCTTCCCTGGAAGAGGAGGCGTCTTAAAGACTGATGTACTTTTCGTACATAACGAAAGTGGGCTCTAACTTCAGATGCTCCGGTGTGTAGAACTCTGGGTTTTAGAGGCAGGCAGATGGGAGGGTGCTTAGCAAAACATTTTTAAGAATTCCTGTTCAGAAAGATCTTCCTTTTGGGTAAACTGGGTAAAATGATTCTCAAAAATTCAGTGATTTGCAAGAGACATTTAAGGAAACAAGGTACAGTTTCAGGATAAGCTTAGGGCTACATAAAAAATGAGTGGCTTAGACAACACCAATATGCATCAAACTCCGTAATTTTTCAGCAGTGTTACATTTAGGTCAGGTTTACTTTTACAGAATTTCTGTATGGCAAGTTCTGTGTAAGTTCGTGGAATATTGTACAAGGAATATATAAGTTCTAAAGACCCAAACATGGGGCATTCAAAAGAGCAAAAATAGATTACATAGTAAGGTATTTTCTTGGGGAAAAAGTGATTGCCATCTTTTTATTTTTAACCCAGAATTATCCAACTTTTGAATTGCTGCCTCATTGTACATTTATTCAACTAACAAAATTGATTATCTTTGGAATCCGAAAATCTTTACGTTTACCTTAGAAACTGCCTCAGCACCAGAAACGGCAGTGTGGCTTGTGCTGAAATCCTGTTCTCGGGCATAGGTTGGCACTTCCTGGTTGGTGCGGGCCATCTCTGAAGTTTGCAAAGATTGGCGCTTTTGACTTTGACCACACTAAATCTATCTGCTAAAATAAACTGGTTCATGTTCCCTCCCACACTTACAAAAAGTTACACAGGAATCTGCGTGTACAATTTGTTGTGAAATACACACTTGTAGAAAGGAAGCGATTTTTAAACATTCACATTTTTCCAAGGTAAAATGCTTTGGATTTACTGAAACTGGTATTTTTGGAAACTCAGTTATTTCCAGACAATGCAAATTTCCTTTATTTCCTCCAGTTCACTTGGAGAGAGGATGTAGAGGTCACAACTTCAGTTTCACAACACAAGTTCGCCACCTGTGAAATGTGCTGAGCCACTCAGCGTTGGATTTCAGTGAAATCCTTAAATTTCTTCAAGCATATTGAGAGGAGTCCTTTGGAACAATAGCCCTTGCCATATCCTGGATTTTTAGCCTTGGGGCTTTACCAGTGAGTTCAGATCATATCACCTTTGGGTCTTTAAAAAAAATATTTCAAGCCAGGGATTTAGCTCAGTGATTTCGACCCCTGCCTCGCAAGCGCACGGACCGGAGTTCGATCCCCGGTACCAAAAAAAAAAAAAAAAAATTAAAATTAAAAATTCTTTCAATTGAAAGCTTATTCACAACTAAGTTACATAAAGGCTTTGTCAATTAAAGATCTATTTGGAAGAATATGAATGCAATCCGTTTTGCATGCCTCAGTGTGCTTTTGACTTAAGTATTTATAAACTTGGAACACGCTAGTTGAAATACACATTTACTGTGTTAATGTTTCAAAAACCACTACTGAGAAGGGAGCACCTGCGGGACGCTGAGGCAGGGAGATGCCAAGACCAAGCCCAGCCTGGGTAGTAGAGCAAGGCCGGCTCCGAAAGTGGGAGGGGTTTGCAGCTCTGCGAAGGCCCTGGGTTCCTTCCCCAGTACAGGTAAATAATGGTTTCCAAGGCGGGGAGCAAGCAAGGCACCTTGGAAAACCCTCAAATTGTCACGAAGAAGAGTGTAAGCTAAATGGCATCGCTGGACGAGTGCAGGGCCGACGTCCTCTCGGACTTAGCTCGCTGGGAAACGTGGGTGAGCGCCGCTGGCGGAAGCGCGCCGGCCGCGTACTTCGCGGAAGGCCGCCTGGGACCGCGACGGTCGGAGCGGGCGCAGCCGCTGGGTTCCGGCTCCGCCTAGCGGGCCAGGCGCAGAGCCTCAGGGCCCGGCGCTAGTGGGCGCTGTGGGTCCGCGGAAGGCCCGGCGCTCGCGCGCGGCTCCCGGGCGGCTCGGGAGGAGCGGGGGCCGCCGGACGTCTGCGGCCGCCCCGGGGCTCTGCGCTCCGGCCCGGCTGGGGACCGACGGGGCCCGTCCCGCCCTCGAGCGCGCTGCGGGCCTCGCACTCCAAAGCCCCGGTGCAGGCGGGGCTTGCGGGCGTCGCGGACGCGGCCGGCAGGCGGGGACAGGTGGCCCGTCGGGTGCCCGGCCCTGGGCCCCTCGCCGCCCTCCCCGCAAAGCCCGCCCCCCGCGCTCAGGGCGCCCTGCCCCGCAGGCCACTCGGCCACCGCTGTCGGCTACCTGTCAGCGGCGCCCCACCTCGCGGCGCCCCCCGCGGGCGGGCAGGCGGACGGACCGGCGGGCCGCCCAATCAGCGCGCGGCTGTGGCACGGCGGGCCAATGGGCTGCGCGCGGCGGGGCGGGGCCCCGCGTTTATAGCGCTCTGACAGCGCGCCCGACGCGCTGACTCTCCGCGGCGGGGACGGCGCCGGCCGGAGCGCAGAGCTGCGCGCCCCGCGGGTCCCGGATCCCTCCCCGCACACAAAGGCCCGCGCGCCGGCGCCCGCGGCGGAGACCGGACCCCGCCCAGCTGCTCCGCGGGCCGGGAGCCGCGAGAACCGAGGAGGCGGCCTTCCCCGTCCGTCTCCGGGACATGGAGCCGCGCCGACGCGGCGCCCGCGCGCTCGGGCCGCTGCCCGCCGCCCTG